GATGACACGGGTAGTGAGCATTGGTAGTGTACATTGGCTTGATGTCAAGGGTGTAAAGCCTACCCTTAATTGCTAACCAAACAATGTGTTTTATGTGATACTTAAACCAAACCATGTAATACCATTTTTAGGATGACACGGGTAGTGAGCATTGGTAGTGTACATTGGCTTGATATCAAGGGTGTAAAGCCTACCCTTAATTGCTAACCAAACAATGTGTTTTATGTGATACTTAAACCAAACCATGTGATGCCATTTTTAGGATGACAAGGGTAGTGAGCATTGGTAGTGTACATTGGCTTGATGTCAAGGGTGTAAAGCCTACCCTTAATTGCTAACCAAACAATGTGTTTTATGTGATACTTAAACCAAACCATGTGATGCCAGTTTTAGGATGACACGGGTAGTGAGCATTGGTAGTGTACATTGGCTTGATGTCAAGGGTGTAAAGCCTACCCTTAATTGCTAACCAAACAATGTGTTTTATGTGATACTTAAACCAAACCATGTGATGCCATTTTTAGGATGACACGGGTAGTGAGCATTGGTAGTGTACATTGGCTTGATGTCAAGGGTGTAAAGCCTACCCTTAATTGCTAACCAAACAATGTGTTTTATGTGATACTTAAACCAAACCATGTGATGCCATTTTTAGGATGACACGGGTAGTGAGCATTGGTAGTGTACATTGGCTTGATGTCAAGGGTGTAAAGCCTACCCTTAATTGCTAACCAAACAATGTGTTTTATGTGATACTTAAACCAAACCATGTGATGCCAAGGAATACAAGAGGAGTTGTGGGACTTGGTAACCACTTTATCAAATCAAGCTCATTTGAGGGGGTGGAATGTTGTGGAGCTGTGCAATAAAGGATTGAGATTGGAAAGACTGGAAGTGCTGAATTGGGGAATTATTACCCACTGATCGTTGAAAATTTGGTTATCAATTTTAACATGGAGTCCAGTCGAAGAATTTCCACATCCGTGAGGTTTAGCTGGGAAATAACAAGACCATTTGATAACTAATAATCCAACTACATTATTGTATTAGTTTAAGATCTCACATTTGCTAGAAAATATATACTTCATGTAAAATTTAACATATAATAAACCTTATACTAATATGATATGAAATAATTAATAATATGTTAAAAAATAATTACTTAAATAGGCGACTCTATATTTAATTAATCATGCAAATAAAAGCAATAATTAAACAATTTAAATGAAGAAACTTGGATCGATTCTAGCTTTTGATACTATGTTCTTAAGACAATTTACGTTCCGTGGTGTTGACGGACTCCATAGTGAATTGGCAATTGTCTCCTAAGATACAACAGTCTCCATCTACCAGTAACAGTTCAAATTTGTGGATATGACGAACTTCGTATGTGTAATACTCTATTTGACTAAAAAATACATCTATACTGTAGAAGTAATGAACTGAGTTCGATCCGAACCAAATGGTTCGGACCAATTGTAATATGGCTCATTGTTATAAATGTTGGGTCTAGTGCTTCGAATCACTTGACCATGACTTGAACCCAATTCAAGTCTAGAGAGGGAGAGAAGAATTCTGAACGAACAGAACAGATGGCAACTTGGGGTATTTATAGAACAAATGATGCCTTTTCGTCACTATGCATACCCATTCCAATGGGTTGCAATGATTCACATTAAACAAGTTAAGTTTGTTGGTTTTAAGCTGTATCTCTTGATGCACATTGAATATGTTATCATTGTTGGTTTTGAGTTGCATATCTTGATTCACATTGAATATGTTATATTTGTTGGTTTTGAATTGCATCTCTACATCTCACAACAAATGATCACACCTATTCAGTCCAACACATCCCTTAACAATATTGTGGCGGGTGTAGCCTAAGGCTTCGTTTGGATTGAGTGATTTGGAGGGATATTTGGAAAGAAAGAAAAGAAAGGATTCTGAAAATCATGTTTTGGTAGCTTTTAATGAAGATAAAAGAAAAGGATTGGGAGAGTTATCCTTCCAAATCTCTCATGTGATATCCTCCTAAAAATGAGAAGATTTGGAGATAAAGGATAATGAGTAAGTAGTATTTTCATAATACCAAAACTATCCTCTTATAACATTTGACTCATATCTCATAACATTTTATAAAAAGATTATGATAGTTATTTAATTCTTAACCTTTCATTTCTTTTATCTCCTTTATATTTTTCAAAAAAGAATACTATCATTTCATTTATTTTCCCTCATAATTTATTCAAACATAAATAAAAGATATTAAAATGCTTTCTTTTCTTTTCTTTTCTCTTCTCTTATAATTGATGGTATCATTTATTTTCTTTTCTCTCCTGTTTATTCAAAAGATGTATATCTTATTCTTTAATCTCAACAAAATATGTCAAAGAACTGGTCCAGGTTTCCATAAGAGGACATGTTAAGTGTAGACAACTGCCTACGTGAATAGATGACCATTCACAACAAGATATCAATGTCGACTCTACATGTTAGTGACCCTACAGTATTGGCATTCACATTATTTTTCAACGTGATATACTATACAAATAAGCAAGGTCATATTCACGCTGCAGTTGCAGTCTAACGTGGTATACTAGTTGCAGGTAATTATTTTGCTTAATCTTTCAATGAATTATTTGATTTAAGAAAGATAATATGATATTTTGGAATAAAAGGTTAGAAAGTATTTTGGCCTAACAATCTTGATGCATATATATTTAATTTGCTTAATTCAACTAAAATGAAATAAAAAAATAAACTTTTAAAATAAATTACTTTGTTATTTTAAACTTTACCTTGATGTAAGTGTAGTTTTTGTAAAAGGTTGAGATAAAATCATACGAATGTATCCTCTTAATTCATGAAGTATTGAACCACTTGTAAATTGAACTAAATTCTTTATGCTTATCAGAAAATCAAATACTCCGTATAATTGAAAGAGAGGATGACTGGCTGAAAACCAAGAAAAAGAAATGACAATATGCTGGTGTTTGGCTGTTTTTTTTTAAGGGGCCTGCGGGAACCTTTTGACTCTAATTGAAAATAACCAAACTTATCCTTAGGATCGAAAAAGGAAATCGGTCCTTATGGAAACTCATGCGATTGTTAGGAAAGCAAGGATTACCACTTTCTTTTTTGGGTTCTTCAATGCCTCAACGAAGAGGATTTTTGTAACAAAGAATGGAACAAATGAAGGGAGCAAAAGATATTGCACAAGCGTTCACCAATTCCATAAAAATAAACTTAGAGCATCTCCAACGGTATGTTAAAATATCATTTTGTGTAAAATATATACGGCCACCTATAATGTGTAAATTTTTTCCATCTCCAGCAGTATGTTAACCTACATTGCCACATCACCAATGTGTAAAAGGGTTATGTAATAAAATACACAACCTTTTTACACGGCTAAATTAACACATTTCATTTTTCATATCTCTTTCTCATCCCATTAAAGAATCAACCATATATTAAGTAAGTTTATAAAAATTATTGTAAAAATTATGTGGACCTTGGCATGACACATGGTTGATTATTATTGAGAGATATATTTTTACACAAAAGGTATAAAACAACCGTTGGAGCTAAAATTAAATAATTCAAATTTTTTGTATAAATTTATTATGACACATCATATTTACACAAAAAAAATATAAACAATAGTTGGAGATATTCTTACAAAATAAAATATGGTGAGGACAGAGCCAAGCGTCTAATTTTATTCCATAAGTACAATTCCAATACAAGTTTACAAATATAGGAATTATTGATACACTAGAATTCTACTCATAAGAAAAGAACAAAATAAGAAAAATACATGTAAAGGAATGAAAATATAAGAAAAATATTATATTGTAAGAAAATGTGTTGGATTGGTTGGGAACCTCTTGCTGGGATTTCTCCATCAATATTTATAAACTTCTGAGTTAGTTGGCAAAGTTTGGTTTTGGCAGTTCCAACTCCTTTGTAAATTCAAATTCGAACTCTTCTTTTAAATTTAAACATCATTTGTTTGAACTTATCTTTGCACCAATTCTTTCTCCAAAAACACGTGCCTTCATTATCACTCTATCAAACTTACATACAAGATATAGACCTTTGATGATGTGGCATTGTATGTACCACGCGGTTAAATGAGGAAATTGAATTGCTTGAAGATATATATTACTATCGAGTCATATACACGTGTAGTCATGTGTTGACCCAAATAAAACCAATTCCAGATATTGACAAGAAAATTGTTTTTGTCCTTGAATCTCAATTAATATTGAATAATAAAATAATTTAAACCAATCTACTCATGCAGTGTGTGGCCGAATTAGAAAAAAATTATTTTAGGGTGCAAACAGCTGGCAAGAGGCAAACTCATAGAAAGTATTTCAATGGAAAATTTTATAATAAATTAAATGTTTGGTGGGTTCTTTTTGTCATTTCATTATAAGACTATTGTTGTTTTTTTATAAAATGGAATGACAATATGGTCATTTTATAAATTTTAATAACGAGTTTCACATATATAAAATAAATGTTGTTAAACACACACATCAAATTTTAAAAAATATCAAAATAATAAGTACCAAACTCTCTATCAGAGTATAATTTAACAAAATCTTAGAAAAATATTGATGATGTGGTATCACACTTATGTGCTCCTCATCATTTTTCAGGGACAAATGCTAATCTAAACAAACCACAATGGGTGGATACCGCATTAAGTTTGGGATGCCAATTTAATCAGCTTGTTGAGCACACACGTCAAATTTTAAAAGATGTCAAAATAATAAGTACCAAACTCTCTATCCGAGTATAATTTAACAAAATCTTAGAAGAATATTGATGGTGTGGTATCACACTTATTTGCTCCCTGTCATTTTTTAAGGACAAATGCTAATCTAAACAGACCACAATGGGTGGATACCACATTAAGTTTAGGATGCCAATTTAATCAGCTTGTTGTGCCTATATTGGAACACCGAATAGATTTAGGATCATCTTAATTGGATTACAAATCGTTTATAAAAAGTATTTAAAAACCATAAAGTCTTAATTGGATTACAAACAGTTTATTTTATTAGTTATAAAATTTTCTTTCTTATAATAATTTTAAAATTTAATAATATTTTTTTATTATAATTTTTAAATATTTAATTAAAATACAAAATAACTATAAAAATATCTTAAAAATTCGTATATTGGGCGTTCCAAACTCTCCGGAGTACGTACTATTTGACGGCGCACTGGTGCTAAACTCGGAGTCGACAACTCCACTCCGCTACATCCGACTCGTCCTCGACGACCCCATTTTCTTGGCGATCTGTCTCAGCTCGAACTTCTGAATCTTTCCGGTCGACGTCTTTGGCAGCTCTTCCTTCAACACCACCGTCTTCGGCACCATGTAGTGCGGCAATCTCGCCCTGCAGAACTCCATCACCTCGTTCTCCGTCGGCTTCTTTGCTGCCGTCGTCTCAGCCTTCAAACTAATGAAAGCACACACCGTTTCGCCCCAAAATTCGTCGGGCCGCGCCACCACCGCCGCTTCATTCACCGCCGGGTGCGTATACAGAACCGATTCCACCTCCACGCTGCTCACATTCTCGCCGCCGCTGATGATTACATCCTTCGACCGGTCTTTGATTTCTATATACCCATCTGGGTGCATCACTCCAACATCCCCGGTGTAGAACCAACCATTGTTTCCCATCGATTTGGAGGTCCCTTCTGGGTCTTTGAGATAACCCAGCATGATACATCCACCGCGTAGTACTATCTCACCCACTGTTGACCCGTCCCGAGTCACACTCACTCCTGACTCGGGGTCGATCACGTCCAACTCACTCATCCCGAGTGTCCTCACTCCCTGTCTCGCCTTCAGCCTCGCCCTCTCCGTCCCCGGAAGCCGATTCCACTGCGGCTTCCACGCGCACGACACCACTACACCAGCAGTTTCCGTCAACCCGTACCCGTGACTCACTATAAAACCCAACGATTCAGTCCGAAACAGCACCGCCGCAGGCGGCGGCGCTCCGGCGCTGAGAATGTGAACCGGGTTTTTCAAGGGCTCGCCGTCGTGGGAGTTGGATAACATGTTCATCACAATAGGAGCACCGCACATGTGAGTCACTTTGTGCCGCCGTAAAGAGTTGTAGATGAACGGCGCGTCGAATTTGCGGAGGCAGATGTTAGTGCCGCCAACGGCGGCGATTCCCCACGTGAAGCACCACCCATTGGCGTGGAACATGGGTAGGGTCCACAAGTAGACCGCTTGCTTGGGTACTGACCAGTCGATCAGAGTATCAACAGTGATGATGAAAATTCCACGGTGGCAATGGACCACCCCTTTTGGAGACGAGGTGGTTCCCGATGTGTAGTTCAACACAATTGGGTCCCACTCGCCATTGGGTCGGACCCACTTAAACTCAGGATCACCTCCATCAACCAAACTCTCGTACGTTGCATGAAAATCAACGGTGATTTGTGATGGAGCTTCATCGTCAGTGATGAGGACGAGAGTAGGACGACGTGTGTTTGGCGGGAAGATATTGAGTGCTTCAAGGACTAGAGAGATTGAGAGATAATCGACGAAGACGAGCTTTGATTCGCTGTGGCGGAGGAGTATGGAGACGGTGCGGGCGTCGAGGCGGGTGTTGACCGTGTGGAGGATCGCTCCGGCCATGGGCACGGCGAAATGGAGCTCGTACATGGCGGGGACATTGGGGGCCACCACCGACACCACGTGGCCTCTTTTGATGCCGAGGGATGAGATTGATGAAGCAACTCGGAGGCATCGACGGTGGGTTTCCGACCACGTGTAAGTTTTCTCATTGTACACAATGGACGTGCACTCGCCGTACACTGTAGCAGCTCTGTCGAGGAAGCCCAGAGGAGTAAGAGGACTTGAGTTCGCGGCACTTGGCTTCAATTGATCCATTTCACACACACTGTGTGCGTTGCTTCTCTTTATTGAGTGATGAGAGTGCATAAAAGATGAGGAATTTATAGTTGTCTTTTAAGATTTGTTAAAATAAACTCTGGATCTTTCGCTTCTTATAGTGCCACGTAGAGTGAATTGAATTAATTTTAGCCACGTGTGATTGACACGATCTATCTATGTAAAGGCCACATCCATCTCGTACCCTCCAATAATTGAGGTGCGACGATTTCGGTGTACCATGTAAAAAATGTTATTATCACTCGAGTACATTGAACATTTTAAAGGACGATGTCGATGTACCATGTAAAAAATGTTATTATCACTTGAGTACATTGAACATTTTAACGGAATGATTTATAATTGATGATACGGAATGATTTATAATTTACAAAATAAGTAATGGGAACGTTATGAGTTAGAACAATCGTTGCGGTTTAAAATTTTTGTGGTTTGAGGCATGATGAAGGAACGTGATTAGATGCAATAATAGTTGTGGTTTTAATTTTGTCGAAAGCAACTCTCATTACTTCCTAGTTTACGTAAAATGAATGAATTAGGACGCTTGTAGATAAATTTATTTTTTTATTTGTGTGGAATACATGTTATACATGTAAGGCTGCTTTATTTTTTAAATTTTTGTGGAAGACATGTTACACATGTAAGGCTGCGTGACTCGAAAGGTTTTTTTGTTTTATGTTATTAGCCTTTAAAAAGGCAAAACAAAAACAAAAAATATGTTTAATAATATATATTTGTTTTTTTGTAACAAATTTTTTTTCATTTTTGTAAAGAAATGAGGAAACATAAAAATGGTATTTCTCATATTTTCGACACTTGAGCAAAAACGTTTTCACTATTATTATTACATATATACTAAATAAAATGTATTTTATTCATGATATATATTAATGCTACTTATTAAACACTTGTACATAAATTTATTTATTTATTTATTTTAATTGTGTGAAAGACATGATACACAATTAATTTAGTGAAAACATCTTAACAAAAAAACACTAATTCATTTTGTTTGAGTGCAAAGCTTGATTTATTTTAACATTTAGTAGGCTTATGTTTTATGCTCCATTGGTTAGGAAAGGAAAAATTTAAATGAAAAAGAGAAAAAAGGATGAATGAAATATTCCTAAAAAATGAATGTTTTTCCTTCTTTTTGTTTGGTACACCAATTTTGACAACATTAAAAAATTGTACTTTTTTATTCAAGAAGTGGTCATTTATTTTCTTATTTTAAAATACGAGTCTACTAAATGATGAAATAAATCAAGCTTTGCACTCAAACAAAATGCTTTTATATTCAATTCAAATCAAAAAAATAGATGATTCAGAGGAGTAAGAGGCGGCACGTGGCTTCTATTGATCCATTTCACACACACTATGTGTGTATCTGTGTGTGGCTTCTCTTATTAATTTATTAGTGTAGATTCCTTTTCAATTGTTTGTGTACATTGGAGACCTGATCAACAATTATGGACCACATGAAAATGTTACCATGGTACATACCGGGAGTGTTATAAAGTTTGTAACATAGTCCCACCGATTTGGTAGGTCTCACAGTAACATGCACAAGAAACACACAACTACACAAGTCGCAATCCTTGATATTTGAAATTGTCCAAAGCAAAACATCATTCGTACTATAGAGTAATTGAATTAAGGCGCTTGTGTATGACACAAAATTTGTAATTGTTAATGTCTATCTTAGTTAAGGCTTCATAAAATTGTTACCACTCTGGGTGCATTGAACTTTCTATCAAAATCCGATTGATTGGTCTTGATGGGCAAGTCCCGTAATAAAATCCACGTGAAGCACAAGTGATGAAAAGCGACGCTTGTGTATGACACAAAATTGGTAATTGTTATGATTTATCCTAGTCAAGGTCTCGTAAAATTGTTATCACTTTGGATGCATTGAACTTTCTATCAAAATCCGATCGGTCTTGATGGACAAGTCTCGCAATAAAATTCACGTGAAGCACATGTGATGAAAGGCGACGAAATGAAATATTCGTTGTGGATTGAGATTGTCCAAAGCAACTATCATTAGCACTTTACATAGAGTGAATGAATCAAGACACTTTTTATTTTATTTTATTTTTTCCATTTACGTGAGACACATTAATTTAGTGATAGTAATGAACTTATTATTTTAGTGATAGTAATGAAATTTGGTGGGTGGAGTTGGTAAAAGCCTCTTCCAAGCCCAACTCAGCTTATTTCAAAATTAAATTTGGTTCCAAAGTTGGGTCTTTTAATGGGCTTCGGTCCATATTGGTCTTACCAGGTTTAGTACTGATCCTTACACCATATTGTTTTGTTTTATGATAGATAAAATTTAAGAAGTTGAACAACAATTTTGAGATTAAAAATTCTAAACCAGAGTCACATGGGTTGATTGGAACTTGTAAGTAATGTTGCGTAGATAAAGCAGTGTATACTGTATATCGAACCTTCTTCAAATCCTACAGTGACAGAAGTTTCGTGCTTTCTTTTAAAATGCACAATACTATTATTTTTTTAGTGTTTATGTATATCTACTTTTCTAATAAGATTTAAAGCTCTGACACAAAAAAAAAAAAAAAGATTTAAAGCAATGCTAGAAACTCTATAAATAATTTCATTCCTTTATTTCTAAAACAAAAGGATCCCAAGTTTAACTAATTGGATATACAATTCATTTTTCTAAGTTGTCTTTTGATTTTGATTTACTATTACTAGTATTATTTTTTATGTTTATTCCTTTTCATTTTTGTCAAATAATCAACCTATTTGGCTTTGGTTTAGAAGTTAGATACTTCATTCAATCTCAAAAGTTTTGTATTTAATTTTAGGAATAATTTCACTCACACCCCTTCAGGTTTGGCCAAATATCAGTGTCAAACAACTTTCGAAAATAACCATTATTCACATGACAAACGTTCCATTTTTTACTCACATTTCAAAAGTTAGTTGACAGGTGTATCGGACCATTTTTTATATATAAAAAGATATTCTTACCATTTGACTTTAGCTTGACCCATTTCCATTAAAATCAATTCACGTCTTTAGCCGTTGTATATCTTGGCTCCAAAAGTAGGTTTTGGTATTCATGAGATTTGGCGGAACAGGCAGAGATACAAAGGAAGACGAAGGAAAACAGAATGACTCTTGCTTTTCCTTCCATTGTAGAGAGTGTGTGCGTGCAGAGATTTGAAAAAATAGATAAATGCATAGAGAGAGGACAGCAGCAGTTGTGATTTTTGAGACAGATGAAATGACGAAAAGGCCCTTGAATTTACAAGGTGAAGACAAATGGGTTGGTACAGTACTCACATTCTTTCATGGGGATGAATGTCATGATAATCAAATATGAATTGATGTAATCTGCTTAATGCTGTATGTATGTAACATTGATACACAAATATTTTTTGTGCACTCTGTATCTAATCATATATGTACGCATGTTTATGAATTGTTTGGGTCTGTATTAATTTCTAACTGTATGTTTGAAATGAGATCGAGTTATGGGAAGAGGAAAAAAAAAAAAAAAAAGGTCAAATTATGTTATTTCATTTAAAAACAATTATGTCAGAAAATGGAACATTAGTGATTAGTGTTAATTAAAGTGGCCATGGAAAAGAAGTTTAGTGTGGATTTCTGCAATCATAAAACAATAGCATGCTTCAAGTTTGGCTCTTATTCATTTAATTAATGTGTTACAATTTGAGTCAAGAAAGTACAAAATTTTTCTGGATCTCATTGAATGGGAAATGCAAGTGACCCAAAGTAACCAATTAATAGGACACAAGAGTTGACAGACACTCCTGTGAAGCTCGTTCTCTTCGTGCGACTGTAAACCCACACTACAATGGCTCGATTCTTACAGAGAAATATTACAAAAGAGAAAAAAGAAAATTTGAAAGATACATTGAAAAGAAACATTGCCTTCTATTTATACATAAAATGGACTTGAAATTAATAATTTGAAGTCCGCATAGTGCATGGGATCGTGTGCTGGAATAATGCAGTCGGTCGGCCCACCACTAAGTGCTGTCTCCTTATCTGATGGAAAGTAGACATCTGATAAGGGAAATACTGTTGAATCAAAGACTTTGGGGGAAAGTTCTTTGGCTTCTTCTGTCGGCAGGATAAGAGGAATCTTTACTTTTTGGGTGGATTCATCTTGTCCTTCAAATGTCCTGTGAGAGAATCCCAATAATCTGCTATTGAAATCTCATCTTCGGAATTAAGATCTTCATTGGGATCCTGAGCATAACCTGCAAGACAAGAAAACTGATTTCCATCTTGACTGGTCTGGCTAGAGACTGATACCATGGATGCATCATCTCGTACTGTAGGGGTAGAGGATTCAAAGGATTTAACAAATTTATTCCTCATAAAATCCATGCATTTAACCATTAAATCTGCTTCGGTAATTAATGGTTGTTGTTTTCTGATCATATCTTTAACGAGTTCAAAGGGGTTAAAGATTTCTGGTTCCGGAATAGTTAACTTTGGAATCTTATCCATATTTTCCATTGTTTTCTTTCTGATCTGATGGAGGAGGGCTTGGATAGGTTCTTGAGTCATGCCTGACCACCATCTGTAATAAAAGATCCTCTGGAGGACTGGTAACTTGTCAGTGGTATAACCACATTGGAAATCCCATTTCCAAATCCAAGGAATTCCAAATTCAGTAAAGAACAATAGGGTGGATTTCCCTACAGGAATATTATCCTGTCCTCGTAATTGAGGATGAAATTGTTGCCATGGCAAATATAATTTGCTGATTGATTCAGGCAACATATCCAGATCAGGGCCAAATATAGCCCACCAAGGTATAACCCAGTTGGGGAAATCAGCCTTAACTGATTGAGGACATATCTTGAAGAACCAAGAATGCCTATGCTTCGGATTTTGATAAAAGAACGAATATGTCCATGCTGAGATATAATCCCAATAATTGTAACTGTGACCATAGGATATTTTCCTTGGCAAATTGGGATTTAATCCCCAGTCACTAGGCCGTATAAGCCTCTTAAAGATAGCTTTACTATAAGTAAGAGGACTATCTTTGGAATTCGGAAATTGCTTCGTGTGGTTGACTTCCACAGAGGAAGTTTCAGTAAGAATGGCTTCATAGATATATCTATGGCGACCATCCGGTGCAGCATATTGTTGAGTTTGGAAA